GTTATTATATATATATATAATAATATATATATATATATATATATATATATATATATATTATTCTCACTGTGTCATGCGCGTATAAATAAGTCGCGGTTTCATTCCGAGTTTGCAAGTGTTCTTTCACCATTGTTTGCATTGATTCTTGTCTTTCGTTCACTTGTGTGCTGTCATACTTACTTTCAGGACTGTCATGTCAGTAATACACTATTCTGCTATTCGTATCATAGATGATGCTAATGCGTAATTTATATTATGGATGATGTTACCAGGCTATTTATCATATGAATCATGTTGACAACTTATGAACATGATGAATCATATAATAAATTATCATATGAACGGTGTGAGCTTCTTCACTCTCGCTTCGCGTCGCACACAATACGTCTGCTCTCTCTCTCTCTCTCATAGCTCTTGACACCTGTGACATTGCCTGTCCGTGAATCACACCCAGGCCACACTCCCGCAAACAGCCGAGCCAGACACCGACACCGACGTAACCATAGCAACGAGCCAACCCACAGCGCCTGAGAGGGCCAGTGCACCTGAGTTCGAGTGCTTACCACAGCCTTTGGAAATGGGGCGCACGAAGAGAGAGACCCGGCACTCGGGAGTGGGCTATGTAGTGGAGAGTATTGAAGGTATGACTCATCCGGAAGAAGTGGCTGCGGCTGTGTGGCATGTGGTGGGTTCTATGGATGGTGCACGTTGTGTGTGCTGTATGATAATGCAATGAGATCAACACGACCCGCACGTATAGATATAGATGCGTGCAGGTAGGAAGTAGGCGTTCGAGATACGTTACCGCATTTGTGTATATGAAGGTAGGCCACACACTCTCATTACCCTCTGCGTAAGGCTGCCGAGAATGAGATTATACTTCTGTATGTGTACACCCATCATTGGTGGTGTTCTTTATACTTGTGCCGTAGTGCGAGTGTGCATGGTTGCCACTTCCGTTGCCAAGCAACCACCGGCTTAACCATAGCAACTGCCGTGTTAGATGGCGAAGGCGATAGTTCTGATGAGAGCGATGACGACGACGATGACGACAATAACGACGATGAGGAAGGAGAGGAAGAGGGACCTATCGAGGGCTGTGTAATGTGTGAGAGGCCCATGCCTATCACCAAGCACCACCTGATTCCCAGGTGTGTGTGGGGGGATGCATATGTATGTGTATGTGTATATGTGAGTGTAAGTGTGTGTGCAAGTATTATTGTAAGAGTAATTTTATGTGTACGTGTGTGCGTGTGTGTGTGTAAGAATAAGTCAAAGTGTAATTGTGAGTGTGAGTGTGAATGTAGGTGCATGTGTATGTGTATGTGTATGTATAAATGTATGCGTAAGTATAATTGTAAGGGTAAGTGTATGTGTAAGTGTGTTAGTGTGTGTGTGCTAGTGTAAGTGAGAGTGTAAGTGTGTGTGTAAATGCATGTGCAAGTATTATTGTAAGAGTAAGTGCATGTGGGTGGGTGTGTGTGTGTAAGAACAAGTTTAAGTGTAATTATGAGTGTGAGTGTGAGTGTGAGTGCATGTGTATGTGTATGTGTATGTGTATGTGTATGTGTATGTGTAAGTGTAGGTGTATGTGTAAGTATATGTGTATGTGGGCTGTGTCCTGCGTATTAGACAATTGCCCATCACCGTCATACGCTTCTCCAGTGTGGCACCTCATAGATAGTAGCTGTCGCAATGGTTATGATATGTTATATACCAACGACCATCACCGCACCGATCTCCCTGTACAGCTACTGTGACCCTCTGATGGCCCGAAGCACCAGCCAGGTCACACACTCATAATCCATTGGTGTCTATATGAAAAAGGGCTACACATCAGCCTAATTACACCGCTCATAGTCCATTGGTGTCTATAAATAACCCGTCACACACTCATAGTCCATTGATGTATATAAATAACCCGTCACTCACTCATAGTATATGTATATAAATAACCCGTCACACACTCATAGTCCATTGATGTATATAAATAACCCGTCACACACTCATAGTCCATTGATGTATATAAAT